TCATCTTCTTCTTTGATAACATGTTCGACACAGTTTTTCCAAAGCTCTTGGCGGTCTGCTGCTAGAACTTTCTTTACGAGTTCTACAACTTCTTTACTCAGTTCTGGAGACTGATTACATATTCGTAATTCTGATTTTACGTTTGCCAATATTAACTCTATAGGGTTAAATATGCAATAGTAAGGAGGTAGTCTGAGAAGAGTATGACCCTGTTCTTTGCACAGCTTGTCAATATAATAAATTTTTTCTAACTTTATACCTTTAATAACAGTAAGCAATTCTTTGTTTGTTGGTCCTTTTTTACGATCACTGGCAGAATAGGAATATTTTTTTCAGACATAAAAGCTAAAATTTGAGCTTTTTTACTGCTACTATTTGGTATTTTAAGGAGTTGCCGCGAGTGGTAGGATGGGTTGTCCATAACGATTACTGACTGTGGTGGAATATTAGGTAAAAGCTGTTCATTGAACCATTTTTAAAATAATTCTGGTGTCATATCTTCATGATAATCAGCTGCACAGTTTTTAATTTGTTTAGCAGATAATAATAAAGCATTAGGCACGAAACCGTCTTTGCTTCCAGCGTGTACTATTATAATGCGTTTCCCTTTATACTTGTTTATACTTGTTACGCGTCCTCCTTTTTCCTTGTCTATCGCAATAATAACTGTTGACTCATAAGAGATTCTGCTTTCGGCTGTTGTATGTTGTTTTGTTGTTTTATCTTAAAAAGTTTGAAAATATTTGACGTTTTGGTGATTTCTATATATTTATACATTAATAAAATTAGTTGTGTTATATTACAAACATCATTAATTTTTCTCGATATCTGTTGTAAACGTCATATACAGTTGGACGATGTGATCCATAAGATACTGTTGATTATGAAAGAAATATGCAAATAAAATAATAAGGTAAGAAGGTTACTTATCACTTGTATGTTTTTAGCAAAAATATTTACGTAAATTGCTCCAGATTCTAAATTTAATACATAAAATATTTAAAAGCAATTAAATGTTCTTTATCACAATATATTTTAATTTATAAACTTTGGAAAAGCCCAAAAATCTACTGCAATGGTGTCTGTTAGAGGTACGGAATAAATATATGATGCCATGTTACTGGACGAGAAAAATACCAAAAATAAAACTGCAGACAACGTTTCAGATTGCAGTGTATTAAAAACACTACAATTTTTAATTTAAATCGCTATCAAATACTTATCTTTCTTCTTCTGATTAAACAAGCATTACAAAAATTTCGATTCATTTTTTTAAAGCAACTTCCTTTCTCCTTTTTACAACTTCTTTTAACCATTATTCCATCAAAATATAACACGATCAAAAACAGAAAATTTTAAATTTTTTTATATGAGAGTTAGCAGGTTATATTTTTAAAAAAACCTATTTTTGCCATCTATTAATAACGTCATTTTAAACATGATTTATGCACGACCAGGCGATATAGTCCAGATTATAAATATGTTTAGCAGGCGTAAAGTGCCCCTTAATCGTCCGCCGGGCGGTAAAGTAAATTTCTTTTATAAGAACCTGCTCAGAAAAGGAAAAAAAGAAAAAATAACAATTATTTAATAATAAACGATCATTAAAACGGTCGTACATAAAATTTTATACAAGGTGTCCTTTTAGAGCGTAATTGTTCAATATTTCAATGTGTGTTAAAGACACGCAAAAAAGTTTTAAATAAAAGTTATATGGATTTGAAAAAAAAATATTTTAAACATATCTTTGGATACACAGGGTAATGCATTTTTGCATGACAAATGAAAATGTATGTTTTTTAAATAGAACACCGTGTATTTTATTTTATTTTTAGAATGGTTTGGTAATACTGTATTTAACCCTAGAAAGTTTTTAGAATGTTGCCAAGAAATTATTTTTTTTTTAAATTAGAGAATGATACTGACCTTAAATTAAATTAAATTATCATAATTTACAAGATACTGAGCCAACAAACAGTGGCTAAATTTAAGTTCAATTTACTCAATTTTTTCAAATGCAAATCATTATACTTTTAATAAAAGCAAAAAATATATTTTTCAATTATGAATTCTATTAAAAATTATACTGTCAACAAACGCAAAATCCCCCTTTAGTACATATGTTAGTTTTCGCTGCGTCACGCACGGAGCGAATAGTCTTGACGTTCATAGACTTAAAAATATCAACGGGCTTATAATTTTTTAGTGTATCCAATTAAGTCGGAACCATATGGGAAACTTCTTTTATTCTTAGTTTTATGAAAAAAAGTCATTACTTATAGTAAGTTTTACATGGTCTAAAACAAAAAATGCAATCTTCAGATATTTAATTTGTTGAGCTTTATACAAGGTTTGTCAAAAAATATGAATTTTACTCAAGAGTAAAGTACCTCTTTCTTTAAAAATCCGGTATATATGTTGGTTATATTTTAGGTTTTACACCATGCTCGATTTTTTATAATAAATATTTTTTTCCCAATATTAAATATAAAAAAGTTTTTCCTATGCCGCCAATACCTTACGTAGATAGTTGATGGCATACGGTAAGCTTTTTATTACTAATTTTAGGAAAAATGTTACTTTTTATAAAAAGCCAAGCATGATCTGAAATCTTAAATACAACCAACAGATATCAGTCGTATACGAGGTTTGTAAAGGATAAAGGTACTTTATTCTTGAGCGAAATTCATATTTTTTGACAAACCTTGTATACGGCTCAAAAAATTTAATATCTGATGCTTGTATGTCGCCATGCAGAACCTTTTATAAAGAATAACTTGTTTTCATAAAACTAAGAATAAAAAAGTTTCCCATATAGTTCCGACTTAATTGGAATGAATTGGTATATGAATAATTTTTGATAAAACAGCAGTATCCTTTTCAAATACCTCTTTTGTTCCATCAAATTTTCTTTAAATGATTTAAACTGTTTCTTTTAATAATATTGTTTGCCCGGAAATAAGGCGGTAATTTGTTACTTGGTTCTATTTTTTTTTTTTTTAATTAATAACTAGTTTTTTAATACTACTTGCTATTTTTTTTTTTTTTTTTTTTTTTTGTATACAGCGTGTTTCATAAGGAATGATAAATATTTTATTCATATGTTCTGGACCTCAAAATAATAATATTTTGCTAAATTAAACTAAGTCAAATGTTATTTACTTGTGAAATACAGGTTCTTAAACTTCTAGCCGCATTATCTATTTTATTTACTTCACAATATTTTAACAAAGTATGCTTGAAGACAAATGAAAATGTACAGTTTTCAAATAATTAATTGTTAGAGTTAAGTTAATAAATGCAGTGTTACTTTTTACTTTCCTATCTATATACAGATATAAGGAAAGTATAGGAATCATGATTTATTTCGACCTCGAGTTTTCGATGGATTTTTACGTTTTGAGGTCCCCTGAATTCGTTTTGACTATTTTCGCGATGATGTCTGTGTGTGTGTGTGTGTGTGTGTGTGTGTGTGTGTGTGTGTGTGTGTGTGTGTGTGTGTGTGTGTGTGTGTGTGTGTGTGTGTGTGTGTGTGTGTCTGTGTGTGTGTCTGTGTGTGTGTCTGTGTGTCTGTTTGTGTGTGTGTGTGTGTGTGTGTGTGTGTGTGTGTGTGTGTGTCTGTGTGTCGCATAACTCATGAACCGATACACAGAAAAATACCAAATTTTAAAATTAAGCTTTATTCCAGCGTTTAATGAACTGATTAGATTTTGGGCAGAGTCGGAACATCTGGGGGGTACTTTATACGTGGTCATTTTTATATTTTATGGAATATATCTGTTATTTACGTTTGGAGAAGAAAATTCATAAAAGTTACTTCTAATATAATTATCTATAATTTTTGTTCAATACAAAATTTTCCTAAAATGGTCCGTATTCGAGAAATTTGACAAAATGTAAAAAAATATTGTTTTATAAAAATTGTTCAAATAAAAGTTGTTTGTAATATAATTCTCTATAATTTTTATTCCATACATAATTTATCTAAAATGGACCGTATTCGAGATATTTGAGAAAATGTGTAAATTTCGAATTTTGAAGAAAACTCAAAAACGGATAAAGAAAAAAACATTAAATTTTAAACTTAAGTTTTATTTCGGCCTGACTTAAAATGATTAGATTTTGGACATAGTGGGAACATCTGAGGGGGTACTTTATGGGAGGCCACATTTATATTTAATGGAATATATCTGTTATTAATGTTTGGAGAAAAAAATTGTTTAAATAAAAGTTACTTCTAATATTATTATCTATAATTTTTGTTTTATGTAAAAATTTCCTGAAATGGTCCGTATTCGAGAAATTTGATAAAATCTGCAAAATTTTGATTTTTATGAAAGTTTTTGAAATAAAAGTTGTTTGCGATATCGATCTCTATAATTTTTGTTTATACATGATTTTTCTAAAATGGACCGTAATGAAAAAATTGTAGGAAATTTAAATTTTTCAGTATTTTCGTTTTCCATGAATATCTATAGAAAAATGTTTCGAGGTAGATGTATGTGGACAATGTATATATTTAGTTTATCCTCTAAACATTTATAGAGATGCTGCAATAGGTTGTACAAAATAACCGGAAAAAGCCTATAATAACTAGATAGGAAAGTCATGTGTTGGACATATCAGATTTTTTTAACAAATTTCATCTAAATAGAGAAAACTCCACGACACAACCATTTTTCTAAGTAGAGTGTAGGTGGCGCTCGCTTTGTCTAATCTCCAAATTGCTAACATACTTATAATTTACTAGCCCAACAATATATCCACAACAAATTTGAAATCAATACGTTAGCTAAAAATAAAATTTATCAGAAAACAAAAAAAAATACTTTAACACCTTGTGTATCTCAGAAGTAAATAACATTTGACCCAGTAATATTTAGTTAATTATATTTTGAGGTCCTGTATCTATGGTTAAATTATTTACCATTCCTTATGAAACACAAAGTAAATATATTTCTTCGAATTTAAATTATAAAAATAAAACAAAAAATACTTACCCATAGATAGCATCACAGAAGCTACGACTATTATTTTAAAAACCATTTTTGTCACAAAACTAACAAATATTTTATTTCCAATTTACTACACAATAGAAAAATTGTGTTTCTGAATGAACTAAAATACTTTCTAATTCAATTCACACTAAATAAGAGCTGCAATATTTAGATTATAATGACAATGCATTTAATATTATATGTATTAAAAAAATCATTGCCATTACCGCTCTTGTGGAGGTCAATTACTAAATACTTCAATTAACATTATACAGAGCTGGTTCAGTTGTTTTAGTCTCTGTTATTTTTAATGTTAATTATCTTTATTCGTTTTTTTATTAATCAATCCTAAATAAGTTCCTTATTGTTTAGGGTGTCATTAAAAAAAAATCGATACAACGATAATTTTTATATAAATAAAAATTTCCTTTATTCGTTCATGTTTTTATTTTAGTACAGCAATACATATTATGTTTCGGAAACATTTCTTCCATCTTCGTAGTAGTAGTTAAAATTTAATAAAACTTGGGGACCATCACAGTTTAAAAATATTTTTTAAAAATTTTTAAAATAACAGAAACCCAATCTTTTTAAAAATGTTTTTAAATTGTTTGTAGTCGTCCCCAAGTTTTATTAAATGTTGACTGAACCCGAAGATAAAAAAAAATGTTTCCAAAACATATGTAGTGCTGTGCTAAAATAAAAATATGACCGGATAAACCTAGGAAATTTTTTATATTAAATTCTGCTAGGGTCAGGAAATTATCCTTATTCAGATAATTTTTATATGTTATCATAGACTTCATAAAATATAATTTTTATGGTTTTTAACAAGCTTTCTTTTTTTAAAGTTTAGAATTATTGATATCCAGTTAAACCAACTCATCTTAAGGCGTGAAGTGTAGCGTAACTAAGGCCGTTTTAATGTAAGTAGATTTTCACGTTGAACAAACCATTTTTAAGCTCAGCTTGGAAAACCTGCTTTTATAACTGGCTTATACAGTGTGTCCCATTAGTGTAGTAATTGTTCAATATTTCGATGATGGTGGGTGAGGTTTTCCGGGTTTTCCTCACCTGTAAGTCAAATGGCACCATCAATCATCCTTAAGTCGCCCCGGAGCGCCACGGAAAATAATAATAATAATAGCCGTCCCTTTCCCCGCACAAGCTCAGCTTTTGGGGTTAAAATCCACTCGTAAGGGGGTGAATTAGGGAGAGTATTATTATTATATTATTATTAATTTATGTTATAGACATGCAAACAAGTTTCAAATAAAAATTATATGGATTTAAAAATACATATTTTAAAAATATCATTGGGTCTATTGAATAAAAAGAAGTATTGGCTTCTACTTCCTCTTATTTAAGTATTTTCTCAGTATAAATTGAATAAAAGGTCAGTGACTACTTCATGTAAAAGAGATTACTTATGTCCATAAGTAAACTCTTATGGTTTCAAGTAGTTACTTAAAACATAAGGATTTACTTATATTTTTCCAGTACTGGCTTATTTTTATTTGAATAAAAATAAGATGTCTTAAATTAGTCAGTTATAACTTCATGATTTTTAAGGTAGTTAAACATGGTGGACTTCATAAATGTTCGTACCAAGAAGAACTATAGAAAGAGAAGCATCAGCCCAAGCAAATCTAAGCTCCTGTTCCGTTTTTAAAGTGAAAGTGTAGACTTTTCAACAGTAGTATTTGTCCCAAAAATTTTGATAAATTCGTCTTTGAGATTTCATGCCTTTTCTTTAGCTTGAACTATAGTAGGAATCATTGATTTATTCAAAAAAACCTTATACTTTTTTAGCAATTTGACAAACATAAATCTGTAACCGCCAATTTTTACCGTCAATTAATTCTTCCTCATTTGAAGACATGATTGTGACGAATAGACCTATACAACGCTTAAACTTGAAAACAAATGCTTAGGTACTTGCGGTTGCACACAATCCTATCATGACTTGTTTAGTATGAATTTTTGTTTACCGAGCTGCGTTTGCGTTTCCATGTATTTCATTCGCCATACGCAACAAAAATAGTAAATACTTATAAATATAAGTAACTACTTGTTTTACTTACAATTAATTACTCAAAATTCAAAATATTTTTCTGGTATTTACTTTCGAGAGAGTTCTAATTTTTATTCAAATAAAAATAAGTAATAGCTTCTACTTAGAAGTTTTAACGTTTTCTTATAAGTTATGACTTGCAAGGTAATACTTTTCTTTATTCAATAGACCCATTGGACATACAGGGTATTTCGCCTGAAAAATAAAAAGTCTATTTTTTAAATAGAACACCATTTATTTTATCTCAGTTTTAGAATTGTTTGGTAATACTGTATTTAACCCTAGAAAGTTTTTAAAACATATGACAGGGTTTTTTTTTATAAAAATGGAGAATAATGTAGACCCCAATTTAAATTATCCTAATTTTGGTAGCTTTACAATGATTTTAAAATTGTTTAAAATAAAGAATTATGAGATACTAAGCTAACGAGTAGTGGTATCAAAACTGGTTTATTTTATACAGAGTGTTTTGAAACATGTCTAAATAATTGCCATTTTTAAGTTTTATTTTCTTATATTTTTCAAACGAAACACCCTGTTTATTATTTGAGCATACAATTCCTTATAAATTCTTCAATTTAACGATACCAACATGTAAGCTAATAACACAGCTGTAATAAGTTGATTGATAGCTGTTTTAATATTGGAAATACGAAAAAAATTTAATATAAAAGTTTTTTGAACATATTTAGGTATTATTCCTGTATATAAGGTGGTTTATAAATAAGAGGCTGGCCAAACCTATACTTTCTTTAAGCAAAACATCCTACATGTGTTATACATACAGGGTGTCTGTAAAAGGTCTTTACAAAAACATACCACATATTCCTTAGACCAAAATAAGTTGATTTAAGTAAAATTACCTTAGTACAAAGTTGCTTCGTTTGGGCTCCAGAGGGCCTTGAAGTTACAATTTTTAAATCGTTTTTCCCATATAAATTTAAAACGGCATATGCGTTTTTGCTGAAATTTGGTATGTTAGTAGAGTTTTATGTGGCAAAAAAAATGGTATAAATTTTGTCCGATAATAATACATAGGCGCAGAACTTGATTTTTTAAATAATTGCACCTTAAAAAATTCTACGCCAATGGAAGAAAAGGAGTTTGAGTATGAAATTTAGATTGCGCAACTCATTTGCTTTAAAAAATGTACTCTTGATAAAACTCGTTTACTCTCATGGTTTTGACGAAATTTGCATTTCAGTAATTTTAGAACATAAACAATAATTATTAAAATACAAACTTTGTCAAAACCATGAGAGTAAATCGAATGTTATCAAGGGTACTTTTTTGTAGTAAATGAGTACCCAATCCAAATTTCATACTCAAACCCCCTTTTTGCCATTGGCGTAGAATTTTTAAAGGGGCAATAATTTAAAAAATCAAGTTCTACGCCTATGTATTATTATCGGACAAAATTTTATACCATGAAAAACATAAAAATGTACTTTTTTCATATCTTCTTCAACACCTCTAATCGAGACTTTTAACAAAAATACTCGATTCTTGCCATGTACGATTTTTTGAGGAATATTAATTATTTGCCTGCAATACGTATACAAAAACATTTATTGTTGGTTTCCATAATTTCATCTAAATAAAAATATTGTCAAGTTTTAACACCTAATCTCTTGTTAACGATCTGACTCAATAATTAAAAAAACAAATGCCTAGTTTATTAATATGGCTGTACAATATACCAATGCAGAATATACCGATATGTTACTGACATTAGGAATTTGTGAAGGAAATGCTCGAGAGAGTGTCAGAGTGTACTCTGAAAGGTTTCCAAATCGTCGTGTACCTAGCCACCCAACTTTTGCTGCTGTTGAGAGACGTCTTCGGGAGACCGGTTCCTATGGCGTGCCGTTTTGGTATTTAATAACATCGCTTAAAAAACAAAAACAAAAATAATCTTTCCTTCAAAAATTTTAATTCCGTAATTATTCTGTTAAAGAATTAAAATTATGTATTTCATAATTTTAATACACGTATTTCCATTATGAAAAACATAATTGAAATTGCCGATTTAAAATTATGAAATACCTAATGAAAATTCAATAATTAAAATTATGAAATACGTAATAGAAATTCAATTTCCATTATGTATTGAGGTTGCCTATACTACTGAAATGCATGTACCTGAAATATGCTTGTAAATGTACTACTGGCAACACTGTTTAAAAAGTGATGTCCTATGATTTGAATGACAGTAAAACTAAACCTAACCTCATTAGTTATTTGTTTTATTCTCAGATAAATAAATAATAGATACAGTCCTATCATGCAATATTTGTAACCAGTATCTTCTCTCACTATATAGCAGTGGTTACACGACTTGATTGGATATTCGCTATTTTGGTTACACACCTGATTGGTTAGCAAAAAATTGACAGGAATACGTTAGTTAGGTTAGTTATTTTATGGTTATTTTGTGGTTCATTTTGAGTTTATTTCGTACTTTAATTGAAAAATTTTTGTGGTTTAAGTTATTTTGGTGCATTTAATTTCTTTAAAATGCCAGTGAATTGTATTGTGTGCTCGAGAAAGTATATCAAGTTCAGTTCAATAACGTTTTATAGGTAAGTAAATAAAAACCATTACCGTTGCATCACACTTTTTTGAGGGGTATCAAAATTCAAAATAAGGTTTAAACAACAACAGTTTATTTTAAAGTTTAAAATAACATTCAACGTCGAATTTAGAATTATTTTATTGTGCCTGTGTTTAATAACTTTGAATTTATTAATAGGCTATCTTTAAATCAAAGTTATATTATTTTACCATTTTATTAAAGCAAGTTGGTTTAAATCGTAATATTTTAAAGTGAGGAATCTACCATACTTCTATGTACAATTACTTAAGAACCACCCTGTATATACAAAAATAATCCAAAAAATACTAAAAACCATGTACCAAACGTATAAACAACACAAGAATTTATAAATAACTGGACAGGGAAATCTTATTGTGCT